TGAATTGAGTAAATTGCTTCTGGTTTTACAGGGGATGTTGCTTTTAGGATTCTAGAAAGTATAAACAGTGTTAAACGTAGAGCTTTGCAAGATTCTCCTGAAGATAATTTGCTGGAGGAAACTCAGATTTTTGTGTGCGACATCAACCCAAACATGTTAAATGTTGGTAAGAAGCGGGCACAAGAGAGAGGTAAGAAACCCATGTGAAAAGAATCTTCATTTAAACCCTTTGATGGCAATGGTTATAATTTTGACATGAAATTGCTTCCTGGAAACAAGAATTCGTGGTATTGAAGTGAGGAGGTATTTTTTTTGACTTCTCATTCAGGTCTTGCTGAGGATAGAGCTCTTGTCTGGGTAGAAGGAGATGCAGAAGCTTTGAATTTTGAAGACAATTCAATGGATGGTTACACAATTGCCTTTGGGATCAGAAATGTTACGCATATTGAAAAAGCTCTTGCAGAAGCTTATAGGTACATTCTTGCTACATTATGGTTGAACTTTGTCACATAGAAAGTTCCGGCCAGTGATGCTTGTACATATAGTTTGTAAAGTTTTCATTCCTCCTAGTGGTTCATTAAATGGTAGTAAACAGAAATTCTCAAAATTCTTTGGAGATGGTTGTTTAATAGCACTAAATGTCATATATGGCTGGCACGAATGTGTAATTTGCTATAGTTCCGGCACTTTCTGTGTAATTTTCATTACTCCTAGTGGTTCTGGCAAGTGATGCTTGTACATATAGTTCATAAAATTTTTATTCCTCCTAGTGGTTCATTTAATGGTAGTAAACAGAAATTCTCAAAATTCGTTGGAGATGGTTGTTTAATAGCACTAAATGTCATATATGGCTGGCATGAATGTGTAATTTGCTATAGTTCAGCAAAGGGTCCTTGAAGTTACTTTGAACCTTATAATTTTATGAAGGGTGATTATCTTGAACTCTATATTACTATTTTGAGCAAGTACCAGAAATAAAATATTGACAAAAATCTCAAAGTTCTGGTTTAATAGCAACTAGAGTGAATTATTGGTCATGTGCAAGAAACTACGTTTGTGAGGTTTTTAAAAGAGGGGAAAGTAAGTTCTACATTTCCTGCAAACCAAGTTTAGATTGTGATTATGATCAGCGCCTCTTTATTGGATGGTCCATTGTGTTGTTAAAGCAAATGCTTCATGGTAAGAAGCACAATGCACGGTTTAATATCTTTCATCTCGCACGTAGAACTTGGGAACAAAAAGGTTTATTTCCTTCATGTCATGTTGATCTTTGCCCTAATGGTGTTGTTCAAGTTCTCAATGTTTCATTTTCCTATTAACATTTACCTCTGGATGACTTGGTACATTCAACTTTGTGTATATTTTTCAGGGTGCTTAAACGAGGGGGAAGATTTCTTTGCCTTGAACTGAGCCATGTTGAAGTTCCAATTTTCAAGGAACTGTAAGTATCTTCCTTTACATGTCTCTGTCATTGTAATTTACTCAACAAATGGTTCTTCACTCTCTCTTTTTGACAGCAAGAAAAGATTGTATTTTGAGTATGACCAAGGTCCAAAGTGTAATATGTTTGTAGCATTTACTTATGTGCTATACACATATAGTATACTGCCTAATGACTATCTAAAAGTTTTTGAAGTTTTGAAAACTATGAGCTGCTGATGTATCTATACTTCTATTCATTGCCTATATGATGCTTGCTTACTATAGAAGGTGTATATAGAAGGAAAATATCCTGTAAAAGATAGGAAAAAGTCTTACTGCCACAATTATATAGTTGGCACAGTTAGTATCATGTGATTTAGAACTTCATTCCTGTAGATTTGGCATCGTTTTACAGGATGTATAGGTGTTCCTTAGTGTGCATTATTTGTCTTGTACAGTGGAGGAGATGAAAGTGACGTGTATCACTGTTGCTTCCTTCTTTCGCAATAGGTGGTTAACTCATTTCTTCTTTTTAATGTGTTCTATTTACCTTTTGGTAGCCTCTACTGCCATGAGTTAGATTTGATAGTGTTTGTGATTTGGCAAGGGCTGAATCTACATGAATGAATTTGGTCGATGCTATTTCTCCTTTTCTTGTGTTCCCCCTTCTCTCTCTCTCTCTCTCTCTCCATCGTACAAATGCACATACTTAAGCTTGAACCTGATCCTTCTTTCCCCAGGCACATCAGCTTATTCATTAAGCACTTACGCAGCTGAGGTTGATAAGTTAAAGATGAATGTTGGTCCATACCCCGTGCTAGAAACATTGATTGCTCTAAGAATCCTTTTAGCCACAACTCATAAATTTGTTTATGTGTATTTTAAATGAGTTGCATTCTCGTGTTTTGTTGTTTTAGTGCATTTAATGATCTGTAGACATGATTTTTCTTCTTATTTTTTTCAGGTATGATCTGTACTCTTTTTCAGTCATTCCAGCAGTAGGAGAGCTAGTTGCTGGTGATCGGGAGTCATATCAGTATTTGGTGGAAAGCATTCGTCGTTTTCCACCTCAGGTAAAATATATGCATGAATAGGGAATTACCATCTTGTGCTACTAGGGCTTGTTAGTGTCTTGGTCGCTCTCAATCTTTTGCCTAACCACAAAATATGTTGCAGATGCTTTGGAAAGTTTAAATGTGTTATTACTATCATGAAATTCTTATTGCACTTTTTTTTTGGGACTGAATTGGTCACTTTATGCATGTTTATTGATTGCAGTGATTCATTGAAGAGCATATAGTAACCAGAGCTAGGAGCCCTGGCTTTATCGTAAACAAACTTGCACAGGGTTTTTTTTTTTTTTCAGTGTAGATAGGAGATCTCAAACCCAGGACCTCTCACTTACACTCCCTCCTGCCATACCACCCAACCCATCCCTCCCCCACACAGGTTTCTTTGCTTCAGTCTAATTTCATAGTTTTATGTTAAGGAAATGTGAGAGTCAAGCAAGTTTAACGGTGAATAACTCATTTTACCACTCATGATAACATAGCTCTAATTGAGCTTGTTGGCTATTGCACCAACATGTGACACCTGCATTTGGTTTTTATGTAATAGTAGCAATGCCTTTAATCTTCTTCCTGAGTTTGACTAGCAAAAAGCAGGTCGTCCCCAAGCTGCTAATTGTTTCATCTGCATTCGGCTGTATCTCTTGGTATGATTGTCACAAATTATAATAACAAATAAAACTACAATCACTTAGATGATATAGACAATAATACAGGTTATGGTAAAGGTTCTGTTGTATACACAGAATCTGGCTGGCCTCCTAAACAAACTCTTCATCTGAAATTAATTTCAAAACCATAACATGGATGCTAATCATTAAAGTTTACATAGTGCCACGTCTATACGTGTAAATCTTACCTAATCTCTCTGACTACGACTGCAGGAGAAATTTGCTGCTATGATTGCAGACGCTGGATTTCAGAAGGTAGAGTATGAGAATCTCGTAGGAGGGGTGGTTGCCATCCATTCTGGGTTAAAGTTCTAATGCTAATCCGTGCGTCAAGGCTATATTTTCATCTTTTTATGGAAGAGTGAGGCGGGAGAAATGTTGTAGGGTATCAGTTGGATGTGGTGCAAAATAGGTTTTACCAGAGATTCCGTTTATGCTATACATCTCTTCTGTCTCAATTGTGAGTTCTCAGATGTACAGCATTTGCTCGGTACAGAGTTTTGCTCTCAACGGGCTAGGCTGTTGCATTCTCTGATCTTCATCTTTTAGGTAAAATTCTACAATTTTGATGCTCATTTTTCAAGAGAAGGCTCGTTAATATGCAGTTGTACCTAATTTTGCTGGATAAATGATCTCAAGCAGCTTATTACGTGATTCCTTCTGGGTTGGATCATGCTAAAGTATACTGACACTTGGCTTTTGTCCCCTCCTCCTCCTCCTCTCTCTTTAACCTACAAAAAGTTCAGAATTCTGTTTGAATCTGGGCAGATAACTTCTTCATAGCATACTTGAAATTACGAAAAAGTCGATTCACAATTTGAAGCTAAGCCGTTAGCATTATCTATTATGTGCGTGCTAGCTAATTTGAAGTCAAAATATATGGCAAACTGCTAAATACGAACTACACTCTCAAGTTTTAACCCAAAACTTTGAGTTTAACTATAACAAACCATTTAAAAGGTCAGATCAATTTGCACAATTTTGAGGAACTTCAATTACATGAGAGGTTGGAAAATCAATAAAAACGAGTTCTTGCTTCTCAAAAGAGTGGGAGGAGTGGCACTCAATTATAAGTGGTTTGTATTGTTTGAACGCTATTTAATATTAAAACTCCTATTTGATAATGGAATGTGTATTAACATTTGAAGAAAATTTTTGAGCACCCAATACTAGAAAACTAAAATTTGATATAAATATGAGATAGAAGTTTCTTCACGTCAATCACTATGGCGTATGAACAAATATCATATTGTCATATATATATTCAATAATGTAGAGCTTGCTCTCGATTACTTTAAATATAAACTAATTATCGAGGATAATTAGCTAAACCTCCTATTTGACAAATTCTTGATCTTAACTTTTTGACTATTAAAAAATTTAAAATTTAAATACAAAAGCAAACGCAAAAATAATGTGTATTACTACGCTTCAAATCCTCTGTTCCCAAATCTCTTTGTCCCTTTTTGTTCCTTCGAAGATTTGCTGTCGTCACGTAACTATAGAATAAGAATTCCCAAATTCATCTTCTCCTTTCAGAACAATAAAAGGAGTACACCTTCACGTTGCAATGTAAAATAAATTTAGGAAATCACAACCCAAGCAAAATTCCTCCATTCTTCACATTCTCATGTAAATCAATCAAGCTTTTGCATGTCAAAGGATTCTGATCACTGGAAATCGAGGGACAAAAACAAGGATGTGGCAGTCCATTCTTTAGGAACAGCGGAACATAGAAGGATTTGGGACAGAAGATTTGAAGCGATACTGCCTAATAGATTAGTAGTGGGTCGTCCCATCCCGCTGTGCTTCAAGGGCAAAATAGTCAATTGGTCAATGCTTTGATCTGGCTGGGCGAAAACTTCTCTAGCAGTATCTCTTTAAATCGCAACTGCACCTGGAATAGTCACACTAATGAGGCATGGCCATGGCTGTGGCCTCACCGTTACCGCCACCGCCACCGCCTGCAGAAAAATTCTCCTAAGCCGCTTTGCATTTCGCAAGCTCCGCCAGCCGCCCCCCACAAGAAGACTTGTTTCTTCTGTTCAGCCACGCCACCACTGCTATCGTGCAGCAACTGCTGCTTCTTCCGCCGGCGCGGTTGAGCAAGAGGTTCAACTGATCAGAAGCCCGGAACTCGTGGCACAGGAGTACGTTGACCTTAGTCTCGCCGACAAGTTTTCCGAGGTCGGAATTCTTGATTTATCATCAATGGTAGTAATTTATTTGTATGTCCAAATTTTCTGAATTAATAAAGTTTATGGTGGTGTTGTTGAAGGAGTTGGGTCATGTTCGAATTCGGCAGCATGTTAACCCTTTGCGCTCTACTTTCATGGTATTATGATTATGTCCCTTTTTCTTGCTCCATTCTCTGTTTTTTTCTTTTCAAATTTGGAAAATTTTGGAATATTTTCTTCTGGGTTTTTTTCAATTGATGTTTATTTGCTGCCGAGCTGGCCAGGTGCCTGCTGAAGTGCCTGATTGGAATGAGGTATACAAAGATCCCACATTGCCATTGATGGTGGATATAGGATGTGGTATGCCCCTAAATTTCGTCATTTCTTTCTGTTTGTCAAAGATAGTACTAATAAAATTATTAGTCCACGTTTTAGGGAGCTTCATCCAACCTCAATAGCAGTCCTATAAGTGAGCCTGGGAAATGATCATTTTATTTTTGGATACTGTAGTTATTGTTACTGTTTGGTAGTACTCGAGCGAATTCCTATTTGTCCAAATTTAAAAGTGCTCACCTTTATAATAATAAATTAGATTTTGTAAAGAGAAAGACCTTTTTATTTTGTATTGTGGCATTCGCAAAGAAGCTTTTAGGTGTTATTTGGAACTCAGGAATTTGGGAGGAAAGGTTGGAGAAGTTTTTGAACCTTTCCTATTTATGTTTGGTTTCAAGGGAAGTACAGATGAAGAATCTTGGACAAAGCAATGGTGGAGTTCTTTGGGAAGTTGGTTGTCCAATTCTTCAACTAAGCAAAACACTTTGGAACTTAAACAAACTTTAGTTAAGAAAAAATATGGGAAAGTTTTGTTTTTCCATTCCTTCTGGGTTTCCTTTTGCTCACAAGATCAACTAGTCAAACAAAACACTTAGTTATGTGAACCAGTTTTAGTAACAGAAGATCAGGACTATGAAGAAAGGTGTAGAACTTTGTCCAGATTTTCCCTATGAGTAAAACTTAATGTTCCAACATCATTTTTGGCACTAAAAATGGTTTTGGGTTCAAGATATGTGAATCTATTTTGTGTTTTTATCCTTTTATACTGAGTCTGTGGGGTCAATTACCTTATCATCATCCTTTAATCAATTTGGCTTAGAGATGATCTATTATATTCTCACAGTGTATGGGTTCTCAGGTAGTGGCAGATTTCTCATGTGGCTCGCCAAAAGAAATCCTAGTTCCAAGAATTATCTTGGATTGGAAATAAGGCGGAAAGTATGAAATCATTTTCCTGAGGTTTCTTGATTATGAAGTAAATGAATGTACTATTACTCATTCATTTTCTAATTTTAAAAATTGTGCTATGTGCTGAAAGTATAATTTCCTGGTGTAGTTGGCTGAACGAGCAAATTATTGGGCAAATGACCTGGCTCTTAATAATGTGTAAGCCTTTGATGAACTTAATCTTTTAGTTATGACTGGCTCATGGGAAACTAGTTAATTTGTTATTAAATAAATGCAGACATTTTGTCTTTGCAAATGCGACTGTGTCATTCAAACAACTAATATCAGCATACCCTGGGCCGTTCATGTTGGTATCAATCTTGGTAAGTACTATTCTCATGCTGTAATTGTCAAAAATATAGGAACAAATTGGAAGCACTTGCAGAAACAGAGATTCAGTCTTTGGTTTGGATAAACTGGTTGTTGCCCAACAATAATTAATAGGCTAAAATACATAGAACCCTCCTGTGGTTTGCCTATTGTACATGAAACTCCCTTATTGTTTAAAAACACCCACATAACCTCCTTGTGCTTTGGACTAATTTGGAAAATGGACAGAAATCATTCAAATTGGAAAGATGTAAATTTCCTATCTTAATCCTATTTCCAAACTGAATCAAAGGTTAACTCAGGGCTCAATTAAAGTTTTAAAAACTTTCCTTCATTTGAAACAAAGGTAGAACTAAGGGCTCATTTGAAATTTTATAAGATGTATCATCTTCTTCAAGGAAATGTCAGAACATTCTGGGCTTTTGTTTCTTCCTTTTTTTTTAAACATTTTTCCTGTTTTCCTGTCCTCTTTGATTTTCCTTTCTTTTCTTGCCCCATCAATCCAGCCAGCACCACCCTTTCGTCGCTGCCATCATCTCGCTATCACCATCTCGCCATCTTCATTTTCAACAGCATCTCTATCACCACCAGTCTAGATTCATGACTTTTTCATGTGTTCTTCTGTAAAATTAAGAACCCAAATCTAAGCATCAACTTTCTTTGGAGACTTGGTTGCTTAGTCTCTTTCTCCTCTGAATATTAGTTTTCTTAGGCAACAAAACTGGCTCTTTCCCCTGCATCTTCATCGCCAATTGTTCGAAGGTCTAGGCCTTATCGCAGTTGATTAGGAGGCTCTGTCCTCTCAGTATTCCAAGCAAGCCAAGAGGGTCTTCACTCTCCAATTACATGAAGGCAGTGGACCTCGATTTCTCCTCCTTGCCCACCGGTTGATTTTTCTTTTATCGCTTCCTTTTATCTTTCCTTCCATCCGTCCTTCAACTGACACCACGACAAATGGCCATCGGCAGATCTAATTTTGCTATTCATGTTTCTATTGAATTTGGGATTAATTTGAAGTTGATATATATGTGATTGATATATGGGAGGCTTTTGATGTTAGGTTGGGATCATTGATTGAGAATTTTTTGTTAATATTTTGAGATTGAGAATTTTTGTTGTTATTTTGCGCTCTATCTAATTGGAAATTTTTTGGTGTTATTTTGGGATCATTGAGCGTTGAAATCAGTGATGATTGGTGGTAGAGTTGCTGGTGATTGGTGGAGCTACTGGTGATCGGTGGCGGTACTGATGATGATTGGTGTTCACCGGTGTCATTGACCATTTTGGTGTTATTGACCAGTTTGGTTGTGAGCAGGGAAGAAATGGAGAAGGAAAATAAACAAAAAAAAAAGGAAAGGAAATAAAAAAGGAAATGACAAAAAACTGTAATATACTGAATTGTCCTTGACAATGTCACTTGAAACTCCCTTAATACATACACGAGTGCATCTCAAACTCCGTTATTTTTTATGCTTTTCATCCAAGTTCCAAAGAAGTCCAAAGTATAGGGAGGCTATGTGGGGGTTTTTAAATAATGAGGAAGTTTTATTACAATAGATAAACCATAGGGGGTTTACTGTATTTTCCCCTAATTAATAATAGCACTATTAGAAACAGCATTGGTTAGAGCATATGGTTACTCATTCTTGCTTGCAGTGCCCTGACCCACATTTTAAGAAGAAGTATCATAAAAGGAGGGTTGTACAGAAGCCTTTGGTGGAGTCCATTGTGGATATTTTAGCACCAGGAGGGCAGGTATGTTCCTAAAAACTTTACAATTGCATTTTCTTAAAAATTTTCAACGACTGTGTATATGTCAATGTTACCATAAAATATTACTGTGCTTTTGTTATACTTAATGGCATTAGAAGACTTGAGAGGATGGTTACTCAAGTCCACTTTGGTGTTCTTGAAGTTGAACAAGTGATAGTTGTATCCAAATTTTTTGGCACATGATTGCATACTCATGGAATAAGTTTGTTCTCGATCTTGCTTTAGGCGATGATTCCACTCATGTATGGTGTAGAGAGAGAGAGGTTCAAAATAGGATTGCTGTTTTGTCTCAACTTAAATTTCTTACTTTTGACTGTAGACACACTATGAGAAAGAGTTGCTAAGAGACGTAGTGTTTCACACTGAAAGTTGAAAACTGTTTTGGCCCATTATGTTAGTCAGTGCAAATTTAATGGAAAAGAGGGAAATGCAATTGCCCTTATCTATTTAGTGTGCGGAATACTTATTTTTTGGAGTTGAATTTCCTAATATAGAAGACAGATATTATTTGGCACACATCTTACAGTGGAGGAAATAATTCATTAGATTTGGGATAATTGGAGTAGTATTTTATCATTTATATTGCTGCACAGTTCATCTTGCTCAGACTGAAATTTATAATCAAGTTTTTTTTTTTTTGAAAAAAATTAATAATCAAGTTAGTAGCAGTTTTATTTGTGCTAGATACATGATGTGATTTCACCTTACTGCATGCATTGTGAGCGCCGCAGATTTTTTTAAAGATTTTTGCAACCATAGTCATCATAAAAGACATTGCTTGCAAGCTCAAAAGTTTACCTATGGCTCATTCTGCAACAAAATTTTACCTAGAAAAATAATATTGCAATTGTCTGAAAGAAATGGGAGGTTGCTTAAGCAAGAACAACAGGATGAATGCTTTTGAAAGTGTTGCAAGGGAGTTCTAAATACTGCAATTGTCGTTCAACACCTAGAACCATGTTAATGTAAACCTAATTGATGTGGGATTTCTGAAAACACCTATTCTTTTACTTCTTCTCTTTGATGCAAAAACGAGAAACTTAGATCCTCCAGCCACTAAGAAGCGTACATGTCTCATGTTAACTAGTTTTAGCATGTGATTCCAAACCTCAATTGGTAGTAGCATTTAGTCTTCTCTTTTTTACATTTTTTTGGGCAAATTACACTTTACTCCCCGTGGTTTAGTGTTTGTTTACATAACCCTCCTATGGTTTCAGAAGCTATACATAACCTCTCATGTTTGGATTAAAATGTTAAAGTGATAGAATTTGCAATCCATAATGAGTCAACTAAAATGTCAAAAATACCCTATGTAAAGTTGAAAATTAATTATTAATCACAGGGGGCTTATGTATATATATTGAAAACCATAAAAATCATAAAGAGATTATATAGTAAAGTGCTAAACCATAAGGGGATTATATGGTAAAATATAAAATCATGTGGGGTTAGAGTGTCAATGCATAGTATGTTTATATATTATGGTCACTTCAGCCATTGTAGTTTTCAAACAAGGGTAATTTCGACATTTTCATAGGTTCCGTTACGAATGATTATTTCCGTCACTTTGACACATTAATCCAAACTATGAGGGTTATATATAACTTTCAAAATTATACGGGGGGTTATGTTCTAATTAGCTATATCACAAGGGGATAAAGTATAATTTGCCCTTTTTTTTCTGTGATTTATTGTTAATAATATTTGTCCTGTGCAGTCATTTTATACGAGATAGTTGTAACAGTATTTCGGGGCCATAGAGCTCATGACTTGAATTCCTCTACACACACTTTACTTCTCACATACGCTGTTGGTGTAGGACCATATTTTGCAGCTCTAAAACAAAAGTTTCAGTTCACAGGTAGAGAGTAAAATTGCAAGTTGATATCTGCTCGCAATGGACATTCTGGCCTTTAGCTGTGAACATTTGAATTGGGCATTGATGTGATAATAAATTGGGAATTTCTTAAAAGCCCACGCAACCAAATATAAAGGGCATGCATGTGCTTGCATTTGTATAAAATCAATTAATGGTTGCCAAATATTCTTCTTCTCATAGGCCTTATTTCTGACTTTCTAATCGACTTCACTTCATTCCACGTAAAAGGAGGTCTAAGGAATGAAGGTCATTCTCATGAAAAATGCAGATGAGAAAGGAAAGCTGTTGTTATTCCGTGGAGAAGAAATGAGAGAGATGTTTTCTTGCTTGAAGGATGCGATCTTTCCATAATAAGTAGACATGTCATTCAAGGATGTTCTGGCTTTTCTTCACTTTTTGAAGTTGTGTTATCACATCTTAGCTCATGATACATTAGCATATGAGATTATAATAAGTATACATTTCATAGGACTAATACTGCACCATTGTTTTTGGGCAGGTTTTTATTCAATCGGATGTGCTAGAATTGGCAATAGACATGAGAGATCAATTTGATGCAAAGTCGAATAAGCTTATACATGTTGACAAGATCGACCCCAATTTGTCATGTGACACTGAGGGATGGTTGATAAGTAATCCAATGGGTATAAGAACAGAGAGAGAGATCCATGCAGAATTTGAAGGTGCTAGAATATACAGGAGGATGTATAAAAAATGCGTCCAACTTTCTATGCCAAGTGCCACAGATCAGGAATCACAGTTGGTAATTTTTTAAGCCCGAATTTTGGTATCAGGGCTTCTCTGAGAATCCTGGCCTGGTACCTGCTGCTTCTATTTAATCCTGAACAGACTCTCCGGTCTGTTTTGCTGTACCCCTTCGGAGTACTTTCAGTGGACACAGATCAGCTGCTTGAAATTGAACGTGAGGCATTGGACCCCATTGCAAGAGAATGTGGCCTAAGTATATTCATCAGCTCCTCTGCGTTGGTTAGCCATTGCATCCTTGAGAAGGAAAGAAGCTCGCTTTAGTGCTGCAGTGGTTGCTGGATCCCTGGTAGCCACTCTCGAGAGTATGAAGGGGAGCTGTTCCGTCTACACGCAGATTCACTGGCTTTGGAAGCAGAAGGTTTCGAGTTTTAATACCTTTCAAGTCTCAACTCCTTGCAAGGAATCAATTAGGCCACCATAAATACTTGAAAAACGAAAAGAAGAGGTAACATTTCTACTTATTTATACTTTTATTGTTCTTACTGGCATTAGAAGAGTTTACATAAATCAAAAGATTGAATAATAGAAAGTATAGTGACTTAAAAAGAGCAAAACAAATAATGATCAATAATCTGGCCTTATTTCCCCTAACTGAAAATGAAGCTGTTTCAGAAGGAGATTATTATAATTTGCCCTTCTATGTACCACCCTTTATTTCAAATTGGATTTTTCTAATAGGCGTTAAATTCGCACTCGTTAACACACTTAAATCATACCTAACTCACGTATACCTAATTTACTACGTGAATGCACATACTAATAATTATTATTCTCTTTTATATTTGTATATTTTTTTCTAATTAACTTTTTTTTTTTCAAAAAGGTAACATTTTGTTTGCATCTTAATGATTGCTCACTGGACGCTAGTTAGATAGACCTTTTAAAATTAGTCAGACAGGCAGTAGTACATTTAGTAAGCTAACCTAGAGTAAATTATTACATAATAGCAAGGTTGTACATTACATGTATTCTGCAAATTCCTTTACCACAAGACAAAGAAATCCAACAACTACATTACATTGAAAATTGAAGTATTGAAACTTATTTGCTGGATTGGAAATTTAAGTGGGCAGAGCGAATGTGCAAATCTTTTCTCTTACTCCTATGGCCACTAGAATTGATGCCTGTTTATCTATTTCATGGCTCATGCTATAATCATTTGTTGCCTCAACATGTTCTCATGTAACAATCCAACAAAACGTTGGTTAAATTCCTATAAAATTTCCTTATCACCAAATTAAGGTTAAGGTGCTTGGCCTTGTCATATTCCATTTGTGAGTTCTAGTGCGTATACGGATTGAATCTAGTAGTAACAAACGTGAAAAAGATGAAGTTCGATGTAAAGGGTTTTTTTTTTTTGAATGCTTTCTTTGACCGCCTATATGGTCTATTTCATTCAGTTAAATCCCCACTAGAAATCTGGAAAGTTTTGGAGATTGAAGTATACTTCAGAAAAGCAATGTATGGATACAATTTCTTGCATTGGGATGGTAACTGTCCTGTTGAATAGAAGAATATGTATGTCATGTCAATGGCTGCTAAGACACTTGTCTAATCTAAAAGGGAGAAAAGAGTACAAGGGGATATCATGGAGTAAGAGAAGTTGAGGACATAATCGATACAGTATATTTTTCTACAAAAAGTTAGCAATTTAAACGAGCAATCTCAACCTTCGGTTAAGTTGCCTTTGCAAGACCTTCTTTCTTGTCATGCTGGTGTTTAATGCAACGAAATTGCAAACGCAATGCGCTGTAATAATCCATAATAGCCATTTTCATGGATTCCCAGCAGATGAAGATGGTGGAATTGGGAGTCGTCTTCACTTTTATTGAGTGCTCCTCCTTTCAATGAGTCAATACAGAAAAATACTTAAAAGCTAAGGCTGATTGAAGAGTAATAGTCATGGGCAGTGCATATATGCTGTGTCATCACGTATATATATATATATATATATATATATATATATATATATATATATATATATACTTTCATATGAGGATATTCTTGGACATTTATGGTTTGTCCTGGGTTAGGAAAACCAACTCCACCAAAAAATTTTCGACAGAAACGTCACTCGGCTCTGCTCGAAATTTCTGATGGCAATCGCATTCTCACTTGGCATGTCTGCATTTTGGAATATACAATTAGCTTGATGTATGAACATCATATCAAAAGATGCAGAAATTTGCCAAATTTCAAGTATATATAAAGCCTGCACAGATGTCCTTATTGTTCTGGGAAAGTTTCTTCGTCACTCACTGTAATGGTCAAAGTTTTCTCTTGAAGTTCAAGCGAATTACGTATTGGATTGAGTTCGATGATTATTACTATATCAAATTTGATTTTTAAACGTCCAAATAGGAGAAACATGAAATAATCCGATAGTTGTTAAACTAATTGACGAGTCAAGTCGTGATTGATGCAGAGCAATCAGTAAACTTGAAAAGTCCCTTGCATCATTTGTTATGATTGTTCATCATGCTCTCGAGCAGTCAGTCGTGCTTGTTTCATTGTAACAGTCGTTCACGACACGTATTCTCTTTTACTCGCAGAAACGAGAAGCGAAATTGTTGCGCTAACTCTTCATTCACTCACCCGCCTCAAATCATCGATAACTTTGTTTGCATAGAGATTATTTCTCAAATTTTATTTGTTTGTGTTGTCGATACATTTTTAATCATTTTTTTATCTCATATATATCACATCATTATCCCAAATAATCTACTATCCAATTACACAATGAATTGACAATTCGAGAATTATTTTTAGGTGTACAAATGCACGTTCGACTAATTTATCCAAGGTTTAACGTAGAACTAAAAGTAATACATTCAATGCTCTCCCATCCTTTCAAAAAAAAAAGAACAAAGAAACCTCCATCAATACCTGATTTGGGAATATCTTAAAATAATGAGTTTAGTTAATAAGATAGTTTCCAATGTTAATTTTTGACGCAGAAACTAATTCGAAAATATATAGGAACAATAAATATAAGTATGTGCATTTACATGTAATAAGTTTGGTATAATTTAGATATAAACACTCATTACAAGAATTCTTATATGCAAATTGAAAAACGTGAGAACTGGCTCCGTTTTGGATTAGCTGTTTTTGGAAGTGTTTTTGAAAAATTTTACTGTAACAGTGTATATTAATAAAAAAAAATTTGAAATATTTAATATATTATATAGATAAAATATTTTTTGAGTTAATTATGTATTACTATAATATTATATTTAAAAATTTTATTTTTAAAATAACAGCAAACCCAAACGGAGCTGTCACACTCCTTTGTCCCGCCTTCCTCTCTTCCTCGTGTAACCACGTATGATAAACCGGCATTGAAGCAACCGCGTTCGAAAACAAACAAGATAAACATCGCGTGTGCAAACAGCCATGGCCCAAAGCATAACCAATTCTTTTATGGCAACAATAAATATTTGGTAAAGCTACTTCTACTACTTTTTTTCTCTCAAATTTCAATCAATCCATTTCCTACCAAGTTGCCGAATCAGGTAATATCTCCTCTCTCTCTCCTCTTTTTTCACATCCTACATGCATATATTCCTGCTATACATGAAAAATATTGATTGAATTCAAGCTGTTTGTGATTATACTAGCGTTCTGTGAGGTGGCTTGGGCTAATTGGAAACGGGTTTCTTAATTTATTGCTTCTTGTGTTTTACTTATTTATTTGGGCTTTCTTTTCTGGGATTGCATGTCCAAGATGGCTGTGTTTCTTTGGAAGGAGGATTATGTTATCTTTGTACATGTTTGCATGCGTGCTAGTAATTAATCACCTAGTCTTGCACAGTCCTGTTCTTCTCTATTTGTTGGATTTTTACTTATTTGGTAATAAAGCTGATTGCTTGGTACATGTTTATTATAATTGCCGTGGTGGTTAATTTGTGTTTCAGCAGAAGCTGAATGGTTATCCCAATTGAGTTTTGCTTTCTTCTGTGAGGTTTTGATTTTTGTATCCTTGCGAGTTTTTGTGTGTATGGGTTTGGTGGGGGAAGAGTGTAAGGAATTGGCTTTCTTGTTTTGGACGTGTATTTTATGAGAATCAAGTCCTTTCAGAGTGATTCTTGAGTTTTTGAAGTTGTAACTTGCATGGCGATCAGGAAAGAAGTGATTCTTGGGGAAGGAAAGAAGGGGGGTTTTGAAGTTGTTTATTGGAAAGTAAGGTTGGCAGTTTCTCTAATCGTTCATATCTGACAGGCTATCTATATTTTCTGGTAATGCTCTTTATCGGACAAAGTCATTAATTTGGATATTGTTTTATTATGTGAAAGACTGTATTCCCAATATTCTTCAAGGGCTGTACTTGATGATATCAACTAGAATTACTCATAAGTTGGAGTTAGATTTCTAGATATCATGTGAATTTAGGTTTTTATTGTGTAGATTAATATTACAATCTTGATTGTCCTAATCAATTATTGTGTAGATTAATATTACAATCTCAATTGTTGCTAATCAATGAGCCTCTGAAGCACAGGATGCATCCTCTGTTCATACAAGGATTTCAAATTCTTATATCTTCATTTTTGCCTGAACTTTTCATGGTGCATATGTGTAATTTCCTGTCAATAAAGGATCTTCCCTGAATTATTAGGATCAAATGTGTGAGGAAAATTCTTAGAGAATTATATTGCGAATTATTTTTCTTGAAGCAAAATATTCCATTGTATAAGCTGATCTGAGTGCCCTGTCTTTTGCAGTTAGTCTGTGAGTGTGCTTAACAATCCAAGGTTAATAACAATGGGAGACAATGATGATAATCGGGACAAAGGGTTATTTTCACATCTTGCTGGATATGCTGCTGGACACTATCCACGGCCACATGGGGCATACCCTTATCCTCCTCCTCCTGGTGCATATCCTCCTGCAAGTTATCCTCCTCCTGGCGGATATCCACCATCTGGGTATCCTCCGCCTGGTGGATATCCTCCTTCTGGGTATCCTTCTGCAGCTGGATACCCACCGGCACTGCCACCAGGATATCCGCCACATGGTGGATATCCGCCTGCTGGTTATCCTGGTCCCTCAGGTCACCATCACTCGGGTAAATATTTTGTGTGTTCTCAGCATTATTGTTAGTGGATGTCATTCTCTATCTAGTGTTGACATGATGCAGTTGCATGTTTGTATGCCTTTTTCTGCCTGTATATATATATATATATATATATATTGACTTCTTTCAAAGCTGTTGGCAAGTCTGGTTATAGTGCAACAGATTGAAGATGCTTAGGCTAGATATTTTTAATTTAAGGGCCATGCTTTAACAACTGTGTTTACTTAAAAGGTCACAATTTCAGGGTATAAAGAGGTGCAGGAGGAAGAAAAGAGCCAAATGGTTGGTAACGTTTTCACCAGTGTTGCCTCAAACTATGACCTAATGAATGACTTGATGAGTGGTGGATTACATAGATTATGGAAGGACAGGTTAGTTTTTGGTGATTCAACTGTTTAAATTTTTTCCATTTCTGAAATTGGATGAATGACTTTCATTCTCTGAAATTGGATCTTTTGTACATCTTTTCCATTTAGATTGGTTTCCAAGTTGAATCCTTTCCCTGGAATGAAGCATCTTGATGTGGCTGGTGGTACAGGTGGGATTCCATTGTGGTGTTTACTGATTTATGTGACCCTGCTTCCATATAATCTTGTATTGCTGAAAAGAGAAGTGCCATGTTAAAATGCCATGTGATGTTCCTGTTATTTTCTTAAAATTCCTTGTGAGTTTTGTTGTCCTCTACTTTCTGGCTTGGAGGTATGATCCCCAAAGTTAAAGGTTCATAAAAGTTATTGGTGTATTTTTTCTCTTGCTAAATATTTGAGCTTTTGTCAAATATTTATTGCTCTTCAAATCATCAAAACAAGTATCTGTATGGTATGTAATTATGTTGTAGTTTTGGATTTCTTTCAGGCAGAAGCTAGACTTATGCACAAAACAATTCCTATGCCCCTCTTTTCTTGATTATTAATATAATGCAATCTGCAGTCCAAATGCATGTTATACATAGGTATGGATATATCTGTTTTTTGTGCTATGAAATGTTCCTTAATCTTGGTTCTGGATCTTTTTTACTGGAGTTGCTTTTTCTGAGGTACATCTGCTTGCAAGGCTATTTTTCTGTAGCCACTTTGACCTTCCAATCTGATCATATGTCCACTATGCAAACACGTTTGGCATCTAAATTAGAGGCCTTTTGATATTTGAAACAAAATCTGAAAAGTTTGATTTTCTGCTCAGTACAAATTGTTTATGAAAACCTTTTGCTTCTAAACAAACTTTTGAAACCTGTGGAAGGAGTCCAACCTTAGATATCTTAAATGGCGAGATAAACCTTCATAACAAAGAAAGTTGATTTTTGGTACGATTTTTGTTTCATAACTAAGAGGAAATAAAGTTTCCATAATCTGTTGTCATTCAGGTGGTGAAAAAACTGGTACTGTTGAATTGAGTAAATTGCTTCTGGTTTTACAGGGGATGTTGCTTTTAGGATTCTAGAAAGTATAAACAGTGTTAAACGTAGAGCTTTGCAAGATTCTCCTGAAGATAATTTGCTGGAGGAAACTCAGATTTTTGTGTGCGACATCAACCCAAACATGTTAAATGTTGGTAAGAAGCGGGCACAAGAGAGAGGTAAGAAACCCATGTGAAAAGAATCTTCATTTAAACCCTTTGATGGCAATGGTTATAATTTTGACATGAAATTGCTTCCTGGAAACAAGAATTCGTGGTATTGAAGTGAGGAGGTATTTTTTTTGACTTCTCATTCAGGTCTTGCTGAGGATAGAGCTCTTGTCTGGGTAGAAGGAGATGCAGAAGCTTTGAATTTTGAAGACAATTCAATGGATGGTTACACAATTGCCTTTGGGATCAGAAATGTTACGCATATTGAAAAAGCTCTTGCAGAAGCTTATAGGTACATTCTTGCTACATTATGGTTGAACTTTGTCACATAGAAAGTTCCGGCCAGTGATGCTTGTACATATAGTTTGTAAAGTTTTCATTCCTCCTAGTGGTTCATTAAATGGTAGTAAACAGAAATTCTCAAAATTCTTTGGAGATGGTTGTTTAATAGCACTAAATGTCATATATGGCTGGCACGAATGTGTAATTTGCTATAGTTCCGGCACTTTCTGTGTAATTTTCATTACTCCTAGTGGTTCTGGCAAGTGATGCTTGTACATATAGTTCATAAAATTTTTATTCCTCCTAGTGGTTCATTTAATGGTAGTAAACAGAAATTCTCAAAATTCGTTGGAGATGGTTGTTTAATAGCACTAAATGTCATATATGGCTGGCATGAATGTGTAATTTGCTATAGTTCAGCAAAGGGTCCTTGAAGTTACTTTGAACCTTATAATTTTATGAAGGGTGATTATCTTGAACTCTATATTACTATTTTGAGCAAGTACCAGAAATAAAATATTGACAAAAATCTCAAAGTTCTGGTTTAATAGCAACTAGAGTGAATTATTGGTCATGTGCAAGAAACTACGTTTGTGAGGTTTTTAAAAGAGGGGAAAGTAAGTTCTACATTTCCTGCAAACCAAGTTTAGATTGTGATTATGATCAGCGCCTCTTTATTGGATGGTCCATTGTGTTGTTAAAGCAAATGCTTCATGGTAAGAAGCACAATGCACGGTTTAATATCTTTCATCTCGCACGTAGAACTTGGGAACAAAAAGGTTTATTTCCTTCATGTCATGTTGATCTTTGCCCTAATGGTGTTGTTCAAGTTCTCAATGTTTCATTTTCCTATTAACATTTACCTCTGGATGACTTGGTACATTCAACTTTGTGTATATTTTTCAGGGTGCTTAAACGAGGGGGAAGATTTCTTTGCCTTGAACTGAGCCATGTTGAAGTTCCAATTTTCAAGGAACTGTAAGTATCTTCCTTTACATGTCTCTGTCATTGTAATTTACTCAACAAATGGTTCTTCACTCTCTCTTTTTGACAGCAAGAAAAGATTGTATTTTGAGTATGACCAAGGTCCAAAGTGTAATATGTTTGTAGCATTTACTTATGTGCTATACACATATAGTATACTGCCTAATGACTATCTAAAAGTTTTTGAAGTTTTGAAAACTATGAGCTGCTGATGTATCTATACTTCTATTCATTGCCTATATGATGCTTGCTTACTATAGAAGGTGTATATAGAAGGAAAATATCCTGTAAAAGATAGGAAAAAGTCTTACTGCCACAATTATATAGTTGGCACAGTTAGTATCATGTGATTTAGAACTTCATTCCTGTAGATTTGGCATCGTTTTACAGGATGTATAGGTGTTCCTTAGTGTGCATTATTTGTCTTGTACAGTGGAGGAGATGAAAGTGACGTGTATCACTGTTGCTTCCTTCTTTCGCAATAGGTGGTTAACTCATTTCTTCTTTTTAATGTGTTCTATTTACCTTTTGGTAGCCTCTACTGCCATGAGTTAGATTTGATAGTGTTTGTGATTTGGCAAGGGCTGAATCTACATGAATGAATTTGGTCGATGCTATTTCTCCTTTTCTTGTGTTCCCCCTTCTCTCTCTCTCTCTCTCTCTCCATCGTACAAATGCACATACTTAAGCTTGAACCTGATCCTTCTTTCCCCAGGCACATCAGCTTATTCATTAAGCACTTACGCAGCTGAGGTTGATAAGTTAAAGATGAATGTTGGTCCATACCCCGTGCTAGAAACATTGATTGCTCTAAGAATCCTTTTAGCCACAACTCATAAATTTGTTTATGTGTATTTTAAATGAGTTGCATTCTCGTGTTTTGTTGTTTTAGTGCATTTAATGATCTGTAGACATGATTTTTCTTCTTATTTTTTTCAGGTATGATCTGTACTCTTTTTCAGTCATTCCAGCAGTAGGAGAGCTAGTTGCTGGTGATCGGGAGTCATATCAGTATTTGGTGGAAAGCATTCGTCGTTTTCCACCTCAGGTAAAATATATGCATGAATAGGGAATTACCATCTTGTGCTACTAGGGCTTGTTAGTGTCTTGGTCGCTCTCAATCTTTTGCCTAACCACAAAATATGTTGCAGATGCTTTGGAAAGTTTAAATGTGTTATTACTATCATGAAATTCTTATTGCACTTTTTTTTTGGGACTGAATTGGTCACTTTATGCATGTTTATTGATTGCAGTGATTCATTGAAGAGCATATAGTAACCAGAGCTAGGAGCCCTGGCTTTATCGTAAACAAACTTGCACAGGGTTTTTTTTTTTTTTCAGTGTAGATAGGAGATCTCAAACCCAGGACCTCTCACTTACACTCCCTCCTGCCATACCACCCAACCCATCCCTCCCCCACACAGGGTTTCTTTGCTTCAGTCTAATTTCATAGTTTTATGTTAAGGAAATGTGAGAGTCAAGCAAGTTTAACGGTGAATAACTCATTTTACCACTCATGATAACATAGCTCTAATTGAGCTTGTTGGCTATTGCACCAACATGTGACACCTGCATTTGGTTTTTATGTAATAGTAGCAATGCCTTTAATCTTCTTCCTGAGTTTGACTAGCAAAAAGCAGGTCGTCCCCAAGCTGCTAATTGTTTCATCTGCATTCGGCTGTATCTCTTGGTATGATTGTCACAAATTATAATAACAAATAAAACTACAATCACTTAGATGATATAGACAATAATACAGGTTATGGTAAAGGTTCTGTTGTATACACAGAATCTGGCTGGCGCTCCTAAACAAACTCTTCATCTGAAATTAATTTCAAAACCATAACATGGATGCTAATCATTAAAGTTCTACATAGTGCCACGTCTATACGTGTAAATCTTACCTAATCTCTCTGACTACGACTGCAGGAGAAATTTGCTGCTATGATTGCAGACGCTGGATTTCAGAAGGTAGAGTATGAGAATCTCGTAGGAGGGGTGGTTGCCATCCATTCTGGGTTAAAGTTCTAATGCTAATCCGTGCGTCAAGGCTATATTTTCATCTTTTTATGGAAGAGTGAGGCGGGAGAAATGTTGTAGGGTATCAGTTGGATGTGGTGCAAAATAGGTTTTACCAGAGATTCCGTTTATGCTATACATCTCTTCTGTCTCAATTGTGAGTTCTCAGATGTACAGCATTTGCTCGGTACAGAGTTTTGCTCTCAACGGGCTAGGCTGTTGCATTCTCTGATCTTCATCTTTTAGGTAAAAATTCTACAATTTTGATGCTCATTTTTTCAAGAGAAGGCTCGTTAATATGCAGTTGTACCTAATTTTGCTGGATAAATGATCTCAAGCAGCTTATTACGTGATTCCTTCTGGGTTGGATCATGCTAAAGTATACTGACACTTGGCTTTTGTCCCCTCCTCCTCCTCCTCTCTCTTTTAACCTACAAAAAGTTCAGAATTCTGTTTGAATCTGGGCAGATAACTTCTTCATAGCATACTTGAAATTACGAAAAAGTCGATTCACAATTTGAAGCTAAGCCGTTAGCATTATCTATTATGTGCGTGCTAGCTAATTTGAAGTCAAAATATATGGCAAACTGCTAAATACGAACTACACTCTCAAGTTTTAACCCAAAACTTTGAGTTTAACTATAACAAACCATTTAAAAGGTCAGATCAATTTGCACAATTTTGAGGAACTTCAATTACATGAGAGGTTGGAAAATCAATAAAAACGAGTTCTTGCTTCTCAAAAAGAGTGGGAGGAGTGGCACTCAATTATAAGTGGTTTGTATTGTTTGAACGCTATTTAATATTAAAACTCCTATTTGATAATGGAATGTGTATTAACATTTGAAGAAAATTTTTGAGCACCCAATACTAGAAAACTAAAATTTGATATAAATATGAGATAGAAGTTTCTTCACGTCAATCACTATGGCGTATGAACAAATATCATATTGTCATATATATATTCAATAATGTAGAGCTTGCTCTCGATTACTTTAAATATAAACTAATTATCGAGGATAATTAGCTAAACCTCCTATTTGACAAATTCTTGATCTTAACTTTTTTGACTATTAAAAAATTTAAAATTTAAATACAAAAGCAAACGCAAAAATAATGTGTATTACTACGCTTCAAATCCTCTGTTCCCAAATCTCTTTGTCCCTTTTTGTTCCTTCGAAGATTTGCTGTCGTCACGTAACTATAAAATAAGAATTCCCAAATTCATCTTCTCCTTTCAGAACAATAAAAGGAGTACACCTTCACGTTGCAATGTAAAATAAATTTAGGAAATCACAACCCAAGCAAAATTCCTCCATTCTTCACATTCTCATGTAAATCAATCAAGCTTTTGCATGTCAAAGGATTCTGATCACTGGAAATCGAGGGACACAAAACAAGGATGTGGCAGTCCATTCTTTAGGAACAGCGGAACATAGAAGGATTTGGGACAGAAGATTTGAAGCGATACTGCTAATAGATTAGTAGTGGGTCGTCCCATCCCCGCTGTGCTTCAAGGGCAAAATAGTCAATTGGTCAATGCTTTGATCTGGCTGGGCGAAAACTTCTCTAGCAGTATCTCTTTAAATCGCAACTGCACCTGGAATAGTCACACTAATGAGGCATGGCCATGGCTGTGGCCTCACCCGTTACCGCCACCGCCACCGCCTGCAGAAAAATTCTCCTAAGCCGCTTTGCATTTCGCAAGCTCCGCCAGCCGCCCCCCACAAGAAGACTTGTTTCTTCTGTTCAGCCACGCCACCACTGCTATCGTGCAGCAACTGCTGCTTCTTCCGCCGGCGCGGTTGAGCAAGAGGTTCAACTGATCAGAAGCCCGGAACTCGTGGCACAGGAGTACGTTGACCTTAGTCTCGCCGACAAGTTTTCCGAGGTCGGAATTCTTGATTTATCATCAATGGTAGTAATTTATTTGTATGTCCAAATTTTCTGAATTAATAAAGTTTATGGTGGTGTTGTTGAAGGAGTTGGGTCATGTTCGAATTCGGCAGCATGTTAACCCTTTGCGCTCTACTTTCATGGTATTATGATTATGTCCCTTTTTCTTGCTCCATTTCTCTGTTTTTTTCTTTTCAAATTTGGAAAATTTTGGAATATTTTCTTCTGGGTTTTTTTTCAATTGATGTTTATTTGCTGCCGAGCTGGCCAGGTGCCTGCTGAAGTGCCTGATTGGAATGAGGTATACAAAGATCCCACATTGCCATTGATGGTGGATATAGGATGTGGTATGCCCCTAAATTTCGTCATTTCTTTCTGTTTGTCAAAGATAGTACTAATAAAAGTTATTAGTCCACGTTTTAGGGAGCTTCATCCAACCTCAATAGCAGTCCTATAAGTGAGCCTGGGAAATGATCATTTTATTTTTGGATACTGTAGTTATTGTTACTGTTTGGTAGTACTCGAGCGAATTCCTATTTGTCCAAATTTAAAAGTGCTCACCTTTTATAATAAATATAGATTTTGTAAAGAGAAAGACCTTTTTTATTTTGTATTGTGGCATTCGCAAAGAAGCTTTAGGTGTTATTTGGAACTCAGGAATTTGGGAGGAAAGGTTGGAGAAGTTTTTTGAACCTTTCCTATTTATGTTTGGTTTCAAGGGAAGTACAGATGAAGAATCTTGGACAAAGCAATGGTGGAGTTCTTTGGGAAGTTGGTTGTCCAATTCTTCAACTAAGCAAAACACTTTGGAACTTAAACAAACTTTAGTTAAGAAAAAATATGGGAAAGTTTTGTTTTTCCATTCCTTCTGGGTTTCCTTTTGCTCACAAGATCAACTAGTCAAACAAAACACTTAGTTATGTGAACCAGTTTTAGTAACAGAAGATCAGGACTATGAAGAAAGGTGTAGAACTTTGTCCAGATTTTCCCTATGAGTAAAACTTAATGTTCCAACATCATTTTTGGCACTAAAAATGGTTTTGGGTTCAAGATATGTGAATCTATTTTGTGTTTTTATCCTTTTATACTGAGTCTGTGGGGTCAATTACCTTATCATCATCCTTTAATCAATTTGGCTTAGAGATGATCTATTATATTCTCACAGTGTATGGGTTCTCAGGTAGTGGCAGATTTCTCATGTGGCTCGCCAAAAGAAATCCTAGTTCCAAGAATTATCTTGGATTGGAAATAAGGCGGAAAGTATGAAATCATTTTCCTGAGGTTTCTTGATTATGAAGTAAATGAATGTACTATTACTCATTCATTTTCTAATTTTAAAAATTGTGCTATGTGCTGAAAGTATAATTTCCTGGTGTAGTTGGCTGAACGAGCAAATTATTGGGCAAATGACCTGGCTCTTAATAATGTGTAAGCCTTTGATGAACTTAATCTTTTAGTTATGACTGGCTCATGGGAAACTAGTTAATTTGTTATTAAATAAATGCAGACATTTTGTCTTTGCAAATGCGACTGTGTCATTCAAACAACTAATATCAGCATACCCTGGGCCGTTCATGTTGGTATCAATCTTGGTAAGTACTATTCTCATGCTGTAATTGTCAAAAATATAGGAACAAATTGGAAGCACTTGCAGAAACAGAGATTCAGTCTTTGGTTTGGATAAACTGGTTGTTGCCCAACAATAATTAATAGGCTAAAATACATAGAACCCTCCTGTGGTTTGCCTATTGTACATGAAACTCCCTTATTGTTTAAAAACACCCACATAACCTCCTTGTGCTTTGGACTAATTTGGAAAATGGACAGAAATCATTCAAATTGACGGAAAGATGTAAATTTCCTATCTTAATCCTATTTCCAAACTGAATCAAAGGTTAACTCAGGGCTCAATTAAAGTTTTAAAAACTTTCCTTCATTTGAAACAAAGGTAGAACTAAGGGGCTCATTTGAAATTTTATAAGATGTATCATCTTCTTCAAGGAAATGTCAGAACATTCTGGGCTTTTGTTTCTTCCTTTTTTTTTAAACATTTTTCCTGTTTTCCTGTCCTCTTTGATTTTCCTTTCTTTTTCTTGCCCCATCAATCCAGCCAGCACCACCCTTTCGTCGCTGCCATCATCTCGCTATCACCATCTCGCCATCTTCATTTTCAACAGCATCTCTATCACCACCAGTCTAGATTCATGACTTTTTCATGTGTTCTTCTGTAAAATTAAGAACCCAAATCTAAGCATCAACTTTCTTTGGAGACTTGGGTTGCTTAGTCTCTTTCTCCTCTGAATATTAGTTTTCTTAGGCAACAAAACTGGCTCTTTCCCCTGCATCTTCATCGCCAATTGTTCGAAGGTCTAGGCCTTATCGCAGTTGATTAGGAGGCTCTGTCCTCTCAGTATTCCAAGCAAGCCAAGAGGGTCTTCACTCTCCAATTACATGAAGGCAGTGGACCTCGATTTCTCCTCCTTGCCCACCGGTTGATTTTTCTTTTATCGCTTCCTTTTATCTTTCCTTCCATCCGTCCTTCAACTGACACCACCGACAAATGGCCATCGGCAGATCTAATTTTGCTATTCATGTTTCTATTGAATTTGGGATTAATTTGAAGTTGATAATAGAGCCACTATGTGATTGATATATGGGAGGCTTTTGATGTTAGGTTGGGATCATTGATTGAGAATTTTTTGTTAATATTTTGAGACTATTAGATTGAGAATTTTTGTTGTTATTTTGCGCTCTATCTAATTGGAAATTTTTTGGTGTTATTTTGGGATCATTGAGCGTTGAAATCAGTGATGATTGGTGGTAGAGTTGCTGGTGATTGGTGGAGCTACTGGTGATCGGTGGCGGTACTGATGATGATTGGTGTTCACCGGTGTCATTGACCATTTTGGTGTTATTGACCAGTTTGGTTGTGAGCAGGGAAGAAATGGAGAAGGAAAATAAACAAAAAAAAAAGGAAAGGAAATAAAAAAGGAAATGACAAAAAACTGTAATATACTGAATTGTCCTTGACAATGTCACTTGAAACTCCCTTAATACATACACGAGTGCATCTCAAACTCCGTTATTTTTTATGCTTTTCATCCAAGTTCCAAAGAAGTCCAAAGTATAGGGAGGCTATGTGGGGGTTTTTAAATAATGAGGAAGTTTTATGTACAATAGATAAACCATAGGGGGGTTTACTGTATTTTCCCCTAATTAATAATAGCACTATTAGAAACAGCATTGGTTAGAGCATATGGTTACTCATTCTTGCTTGCAGTGCCCTGACCCACATTTTAAGAAGAAGTATCATAAAAGGAGGGTTGTACAGAAGCCTTTGGTGGAGTCCATTGTGGATATTTTAGCACCAGGAGGGCAGGTATGTTCCTAAAAACTTTACAATTGCATTTTCTTAAAAATTTTCAACAGACTGTGTATATGTCAATGTTACCATAAAATATTACTGTGCTTTTGTT